GATAACCGAAAAGATAATAATACCATCAATTTATTTTATTTTGGAAGGCATTATTAATTTTTTTTTGAATCATCGACATAAAAGGCCAATGTATTCACAGTTGATTCTACCATACAGTGAACCCTCACTTTACGCGGTCAATTGAACCCACGGCGGCCCGCGTAAAGTGAACAACATAACATATGGGATTAATTGAAATAGAGACCGGGCCGACCCCCAAACTCCACTTTTTCAGACACAATACCTATGTTGTAGTAAAAATAACTTCTTAATTTTATGATGGTATGGACACAATTAATAATTAAGAGAAATATCAATAATATTAGGTTTTTAAACACTTACATAATTAGAAAAGATGGCTGGGCACACGGGGATGGACGGTTAGTTCCGAGGCAGAGGGCAGATTATTGGCCCTCACCTGTATCACTTGTATCAATTGTATCACTATCCACCACAGAGGCTTGCAGGGCCTCTTTGTCAAACCCCTCAAAGTCCATATAAGTCCATATCCTCACTATCATTATCACTATCACTGACTTGGGCCGGCTGTGGTGGGTGGCGGGTGAATAACTCGGTAATGTTTTGATGACTGGGCGACCTTGTGCGCACCCTGCTCGCGCCGCTCTCCGCGTAAAAGGGTACACACACCGCGGAAAGTGAGCATTCCGGTTTCGGCAGGGTACCGCGTAAACGCGTAACGTGAAACAGCGTAAAGCAGGAGTTTACTACTTGTAGACAAAATATGGAATGACTCTACAGTAATGTACAGTGGTCACTCGGTTAACGAGCACAATCCGTTCCAGCAGGTTGCTCGTTAACCGAAACCATTGTTTCAATGGGTTTTTGGGTAATTGGTTCCAGCTCACCGAAAATTGCCTAAATTCAACAAAAATGGTAGAAAAGTTCACTTACTTTGAGATGTGTATGTAGAAGGCTCCTGGATGATGATGATGATGATGTGAATTTGAAGTGGGAGGTGGAGAAGGAGAAGGGAGAAGAGAAGGAAGTGGAGGTGGAGGAGAAGCATTTTACTGCTTCTTGGAAGGTGAGTCACCTTCCATGAAAATGTCAGGAACCTCTGGACTGACAGATTCTCCACCATGAACATCCTCTCTCCTTGAAGTGGAAGGCTGATGGATAGCATCTTGTTCCCTCTGCCTTTTACTGAAGAAAGTGTCAATTGTGGTCTGTGGGGCATCTGTCCTCCTCACCATTAACTTATGTTTAAAGAAGGAGACCACAGAGTCCTCAACATGACACAAAGTTAGTTCAGTTTTTTCCACTTCTGGGTGCTTTGAAGCCAGTTCCCTGAACTTCTCCCAGTAGTAAATCACATCTTTCAATTGTTTAGCTGACATATGGTCATCACTTTCAATTTCCTCCTCACCACTGTCAGCCTCTACCTGTAACATCTCATCCAGTTGCTTCAAGTCATCAGGAGTAAGTTCCTCCTCATGAGACATCACAAGCTCTTCCACTTCCTCCTCCTCCACTTCAAGGCCCAATGACTGACCAATGGACACAATCTCCTGGTCCAACTCTGTTTCTTCCTCAAATCCTTCAAAAACATGGACTACTGATGGCCACAGTGCTTTCCATGAAGAATTGAGGGATCTAGTGGAGACTTCTTGCCATGATGACACAATCAATTTTACAGCCTCCAGGATGTTGAATTGTCTTTTCCAGAAATGTTTCAGTGTTAGTTCAGGATCATTGGAAATTGCCTGATGACACCTCCTAAACATTTTCTTCATGTACAACTTCTTGAAGTTGCTGATCACATTCTGGTCCATTAACTGTATGATTGATGTAGTGTTTGGAGGCAAAAACAACACTTTCACAAAGTCAAAATGATACTCCAAATTTCTGGCAAGGTCAGGGTCATGACCAGGAGCATTATCCATGAGGAGAAGAGCCTTTAAAGGGAGTTTTTTGGTGGTTAGGTAGCTCTTGACAGAAGGGCAAAACACATCAACAGCCCATTCATTAAAGAGCTGTCTTGTCACCCATGCCTTACGGTTGGATTTCCAATAAACTCCAAGCTTTGTTCTTACCACTTTCTGTTGCTTGAACACCCTGGGGTTTTCAGAGTGGCAGACAAGCATAGGCTTCAATCGGAAATCTCCTGAAGCATTGGCTCCAAGCAATAGAGTGAGACGGTCTTTTATGGGTTTATGACCAGGTAAAGAGGCTTCATCTTAGGTGATGAATGTTCTTTTGGGCATCTTTTTCCAGAACAGCCCAGTTTCGTCCACATTGAACACTTGCTGTGGAAGATAATTTTCTTCTTCCATCAGTTTTTTAAATTAATCTAAAAACTTTGCTGCCCCTTCCTTATCAGCACTAGTAGCTTCACCATGCCTAACAACACTGAAAATGTCACTTCTTGTCTTAAATTTTTCGAACCAGCCCTTGCTGGCCCAAAAATCTTCAAATTCTGTGCCTGAAGAACCAGGTTGATCTGTCTTTAAATGTTCGTAAATCTCCCTGGCTCTTTCACAAATGAATTCAGTAGAAACTGAATCACCTTTCATCTGTTTTTCCCTAATCCAGATGATAAGTAACCTCTCAGTTTCTGCAATTAGGGATCTACTTTTAAACACTCTTGTAGATTTGTCTCTCACTTTCACTTCTTTAAATTTGTCTTTCTGTGCAAGAATTGTCGGCACAGTTGATGTTGACATGCCATATTCTTTGCATAGCGCATTTGTTCTAATGCCTTGTTCATGTTTTTTTATGATTTCCTGCTTGGTTTGGATTGAAAGCGCTTTTCTTGATCTCTTAGGCCCCATACTGGATTCAAACAATGTCAACACGTGCTTTTCAAAGTTAAACTTGTTGTAAATAAAGAATATTTTCTTTAAAATAACACTGCACTGCGCTATATATTGTCAATATGTAAAATAAATTTCAAAATGACCAATAATTTGCTTGGAAACACAGAAAAAAAGCGTTTAGTTGAAGAGAGTCTCAAGCAAGATGTTACCTCTAGTGAAAACAGAGAGACTAACGCCTGTTTGCTGTGTTAAGAGGCTGGATGCCGCGCATTAAACTAGTCACTTTACCTTCAATTATGTTCAATAATTGTTAAAATGACTAAAAAATTTAATATTAAACTTTTAAAATTATTGAATAGTATAAACTTCTTGATATTTACTAAAATAGTAAGGAATTTAAGCCCTAGAACTGATTAATGTATTGGCGGACTAATACTACAGCTGGTTGACCGCCCAGTGCAAGTCAAAACTTGTTGAGGTCGGCTCGTAAGAAACTCGTTAACCGAGGGGTTGTTGGTTAACCGAATTTAAGAATCTTATGGGAGGTAACTCGCTAACCGAAATCTCGTTAACCGAGGCGCTCGTTAACCGAGGGACCACTGTATATCACCATTGCTATTAAACATGTTGAACCCTTGATACTTGCCTTCTATAATGAAAACAAAAACATGAAAAAATCACATATGCAAAAACTGGCAAATGTGTTTGGGACTGGCAACTACCCTAGTACAGGTCAACTGGCATATTTGGACTTAGACTTACCTCTGATGATGGTGAGGAGAAATTGGAGGATATAAGCGGCGATGAGGCAAGTAGAGGCTGGTGGATGTTCCCATACAAACATGGAATTCTTTTAAAAAGAACAATAAAATTCTTCATATGCTGTTGTATATGAAGGATATCTTATAAAAAATATTATTTCTTTGCAGATTTCTACAATTTATGTACTGTACATCCACTTCCATTTTTTTTTCTTTTAGTTTTAAAATATAGTTCCATTGCAGTATGCATCAGGAGGGGGCGAGAGCACCACGAGCCAACGTTCCAGTCATGAACCTCAATTTATTTATTTTATTTTATTTTTTAAAGCACTGAATGATTCTTGTGTGATGCCCATCGGGATACCAAAGCATTGTTTACAGGACAATTGTTCTTGCATATGACCCTCTATACGATCAAAACAACTCGCTTTAACTACATCCATCCAATAGCCATTGATATCCATTGATCAAAAAAAATTTCTCGTGCAAATTATGGGTTGTTTAAACTCAAATTAATCACAGTCTTACAAGGATTCCAGTAATGCAAGTTATATTTTTCTACGTCAAGTCAGTGACATTTTATAAGGAAACAATATTTAACTGAAGGCACCTTCGCTTGTCAGCCTACCCACGCCCCGCCACACGGCCAACCCGTGCACTACAGCTGTGTCTGTTTCCTTGTCGATCGTAAACCTGGCATCGCATGGTTCCACGATTAGTAGCTAGCATTGCGCTTATCATCAGTGTTTTTTCTTATATAGTGAGAGGACACCACTAACATTCAGATTGAACTGTGTTATGGCGACTATGAAGTGATATTGTCTGGTTTTTTGTGACTGTAAGGTGCGTTGACTGTTGTTTTGAAAATGCGAGCAGTGGCAGTGGTTATTATTGTTTTTAAATTATCATCGTTCGCTCAGTTTTTGTGACTGTGAAGTGAGCAGTGTAACTTTGAAAATGTCTGGGAAGGTCAAGGCATCCAAGACAACCCTGTCTCTGAGGTGAAGCTTGGCAGTGTTAAGCAGCATGAGACTCCCCAGAGGCTGTGTGGAAGTCAGAGTGACGTCTCCACTCCACCTACAAGAGTCACCTTAGCCTCGAAGGGGACATGTGATGATGACCAGACTTATCCAATATGATGTGGCGAGTGTTGTTTACTTGTTTTGTACTGATAGTATTATTGTAGGAATTGTTTTGTCGGCGATACATGTGTGCTTGGGGCCTGACTGAAAACGTATCCAATTGAAGGCCATGTTATAATGTTCCCTATCTACGATATTTCACCTAGCGATGGGTTTTTCAGGAGCATAACCCTACCATATCTCAGGGGTTACCTGTATCCTTTGTTTTGCATAAAGGTTCCGTTCCTGAAAACCATTTGTACATCAATCCTTCATAATTTGAGGGATGCCCATAGTTAATTTCCCATATAGAGCAAAATTTTGTTTTAAATCAAACATAATTAGGTAAATTCTGGTTTATATCTCACTCCATTACATATCTCACAGAAGACGATTACTAAGAGAGCAGTTACACATCACTGTCAGAAAAAGTCACTATAGGCATTATTGTATCTGAAAACAATCCGGTATTAAAACATTAATAAAACCTAATCTATAACAATGTAACACAGTTGCATAATTCATTAAATATTTTTTTGTATCTTCATATTATTTATTAAGAGTTTTGTTACAACCATTCATCCTCCACATTCCACGTATGTAGTAAGATACATTACACATGCGAGTTATTATTTCTCTTACTAACAACTTTACATCAATTTCCCAAGAATATTAACTTTTCTTACCCCTATGGTCTCTTCCCCAAATACTGCTACTGTGTAAGCTATACATTAAACTTTTATCCTCCATTTGATCCTTGTAACTGACATTAATGACTAAGTATTTTCTATCATTATTCAATACATTTTTTGCTTTACACTGAATGTCTCAGTAACTCCGACAGCACAGACTGACTTTTCAAGACCCACTTATATCACAAGAATGAAAAGGGATTAAACAATTGAGGAGACAGACATCCCAACTTAGACATGTGTCAGTTCAGTAGCTTAGCTGGGAGAAATGGATAACACGATCACTTTCAGTTACCACACTTAAAATGTCAAAGCTTGAAAAACAAACCATATTTTGGCTAACAGTAGGAATTTACAAATTGAAATGTCAGTTTGTGATGTTAGTTTTAGTTTATTGAATTTGTATAATGGGTTTCATCTATAAGGTTTAGTAACTAAGAGTGAGAACTACAAATTTATATATTAAAAATCAAAACAATTGCAGTTCAACACTTAGTCATCCCATCTGGACTTTCTCTTGCGGTCCCGTGGTGGAGCGAGCTGAACAGCCTTAGCATCACCTAAAGTCCATGAAGTGTCAGCACTGGCTGCAGTAAACTGAAAAATGTAAAAGGGAGTAAAATATCAACAGATATGTTCATATAAAAAAAATCTCAACTAATATACAGAGTTGTGTACAAAACCAAACAGTCTGGAGAAAACTGTGTTTGACCTAACCTATTTAATGAGAATAGTATTCAACATGAAATTAAAAGATGGAGGAGTTTGTAAAACATGGATATAGACTAAAAGAAGTGGAGGAATGAGTAATGAAATGAATCACAGTATAGCAAGAGAGAAATGTATGGAATGAGAAATGTATGGAGAGGGAGAACCATTCAAAGAGGCCAAAGGAAAGGCATTGTAGGTAAGAGAATACTGTATATGTATTAATGAACATGAATTAGATTGCCAATGACGATGGAATTTGTTAAAAATTCTGCATGAGACAGTAAGCGGTGAAGTTGGAAATACACGTTGTATTGTCACAAACTGTGCACCATAAACAAACATAATTAAAGGAATTTGAGTAAGCATAGTCTGAGCAATACAACTCATCCACAAAGGCAATAAATTTCAGACTTTATACTAACCTGATTCTTGTACTGTGAATGAAACGCAGCTTTCATGGCAGCAAGACGATTAGTAGCTGGGCCGGTCATGCTGGGGTCTCCACCTCCATAGGCCTGACTCGCTGGGCCTACTGCCATACTAGCACCAACACCCCCAACACCTCCACCACCAACACAACCACCACCACTACCTGCTGGTGGAGTATGGAGAGATGTTCAGAATTCCATGGAAAATTAACCAGGTACAGTATTATTGTATTTGAAAATTGTATCAAACATCTTTTGAGAATGAGCAAAAAAAATGGAATAAAAAATACTGTACAGTACCCCTCCTACCATCAAAATACATAAATAATGCTGCAGCACATAAATAAGGATTGTGGATTGTTTTATCAAGCCTCATTTTACCACTAAATGCTCTCTTTTTGTCCATCTGTGAGGGATAGTATAAATTACCATTAAACCCACATGAGAGTTCTCACAGGTCACTTGCAGACACCCCATAGGAAAAAAGTATTCATTGGTAATATGCTGATAACAGATGCTCAAATTACACTGAACACTTTCCATTCCCTGCTACTTAATATAAAGGCATGAGACTAATAAAAAATCTCATCAGTCCATATAGCACCCTCCATTAACGAGTGGTTCAATTTACGAGATTTCAGTTAAAGAGTAAGGACTTTCAGTTCTATTAACGAGTACAAATTCTATTAATGACAGCCTCTCAGTCCCAGACCTCCATAAAATATCATGGTGTGAAGGTGTGGAACAGCTTACCCCCACCAATCCGAGCAAAGACTACGCTCCCTTCCTTTAAATCATCTCTAAAAAAATATCTATTGTCTAAGTATTAATATTTCTTGTAATACCTACTATATTTACAGTACCTGCTTTTATTGTACCATCAAAACCGTTTTATCGGAAATTATCATGTAAATAGATAAGAAATTACAATTGCAATAAACATAATTGCCAACCAGACAATCCTGAAAGCTCTGTCCTCTTGTTCAACCTTAATACTGTATAACCCATGTTGTACTGCTACCCCATTGTACTTATGTTTTTCAATTCCACTGTAATTTATGTACAGCTCCTCCCCGACTTACGACGGGGTTAGGGACCCAAATCCAGGTCGTAAGTCGAAATGGTCTAAGTCGGAAATACATTACAGTACTTAAATAATACACAGAAAATCGAAAATGGGTGCCTCTTTTTCTTCTCAGCACCACAAAACACTTACTTTTAAGCTTGCCAGCCATTTTAAAGTAAATTACAAACGAAAATTTTGTCTGTGTACTGACTTTGGGACTCAAAAATACGTAATTTTACCAAATTTTGGTACGACTGAGGCAAGTCGTAAGTGTGGGTGGTCGTAAGTTAAGCAGGTCATAAGTCAGGGAGGAGATGTATATACTTATAATAAAAAAATAAAAAAAAATAAAAATAATAATAAGTAAATAAAATAAATAAATATTGAAGTGATAACCGTGGTAACATTATGAGATGATCTTATTACCACCATGCTATTGTACTGTTCCAGATGACACTAAATGTTTCATAATACTTCCTTGAGATAGATGTATAGTATACATCAGGTGCCTAAAAGAGATCTCAGGTTCTCAACTGGCTCAGCCATGTTAATATTGTTATTATTATCCACTCTGTATCTGTGTTTTTCTGGCTAAATAAACTGTTTCAATTCAATTCAATTCAATTCAACCTTACGAGAAACACGTTTTGGTGGGCACATCAGCTGATCAACTCGTCCGCCAATAAAATCGGTTCTATGTTTACCTTTGCTTCCAGTGGAGTAAACATCGAGAAAGTTGTGCTCTTGAAAATTTTTGCATTTTTACATTAAAATTATTGGTCATTCTGAAATTTAGTTAACACATTGATAATATACAGTGTAGTGTTGGTTTAAATAAAAAATCTGGGATTAGTTAAATAAATTGTTGTGAACTTAAAATTTTATTGGTGAAATTATCAAGCATGGGCCCGAAGAAATCTTGGAAGGCGATTTCAATTCAAGTGAAACAAGAAAATATTAAGAAATACTACGAAGAAGGTATTAGAACCAATGCACTCTGTAAAGAATATGGCATGTCGTCATCGACTATGCCTACAATCGGCTGTTTGCGCTGCCACTATGTAAACAAAACTGCCGGGAATTCTACATGCATACCTCACATTGTGTTAAAATATTTTATTTTTTGTTTTATTTATTATTGTAGAGTATACTGTACAATACTGTATTTTGTTTATGTTTAATGTTTTGTTAATTCTATTACCGGTACAGTGGTCCCTTGGTTAACGAACACAATTCATTCCAGAAGGTCGTTCATTAACCGAAAATTTCGTTGACCGAAACCATTGATTCAATGGGATTATGGGTAATTGGTTCCAGCTTACCGAAAATTGCATACAAATTAAAAATAAATGCAGTAAAGTACACTTACTTTGAGGTGTGTATGTAGAAGGCTCCTGGTTGATGATGATGGGAATTAGAAGTGGGGGTGGAGGAGAAGGAAGAAGAGAAGGAAGTGGGGGTAGAAGAGAAATCACCCCAAGCTTCATGCCATCATTTCACCCATAAAATTTTAAGTTCACTTGGTGTAATTCAAGATTATTTTCTTTAAATCAACACTGCACTGCACTATATATTGTCAATATGTAAAATAAATTTCAGAATGACCAATAATTGTACTGTAAAAACCAGGGCTGTGGAGTCGGAGTCGGAGTCGAGGAGTCGGAGGAAATTTCGGCTTGTGGAGTCGGAGTCGGAGTCGGTAAAATTGTCCAGACTCCGACTCCGACTCCGACTGAGTGAAAACGCAGCAGCGGTAGACATTAAAAATACGAGATTTCAGCAAGATTTCTTTGGTGCACTGATGGAAGTGGAGAAATTTGACCGGTCTTCAAAAGTGACAGTGGAAGAAGCCATACCTGCTTACCCAGAGATTGTAAAAGATGTAGCTAGAGCTGTGACAGCAATGCCACCCACTCAGGTCAGTGTAGAAAGACTGTTTTCTGCACTGAAAATAATCAGATCAGATTTAAGGGCTTCCATGAAGGAAGATCTGACTGAAGCTATTCTGTTCCTAAGAACAAATATATGAACTCAGGCATATTCATTGCAGTGATTCCACTGATCCCACTAATTTTCTTAAATTATTAAAAGAATTTATTTCCATTTTATAAGCATTATTATGAATTTATTGTAGCAGGCACAGTATAGCACTATAATTTTGGACGATAGTCTCTTCTTTACCATTTGAAATTTTGAATTATATCAAATTTTGTTTCGTTGAAAACTGCACAGAGGCTCTCAGCTACAAAACAATTAGCTACAACCTGTTTTTGGTGAGATTAAGGCAAATTTAATTTAATAACTTAATCATGTAAGGTTTATCCATTTTCCTTAATAAGGTATTCATTTCTTTAATGTACATAAATATATAACTTTACTTTAAAAGGAATTGTAGGATCATCATTTAGATCCACATCAGATTATGAGCTTAAACAAAATTCATATGCTGAGATCGAACTTTTAGATATACATGTAAATGGTGTTTTCTAGTTAATATCTTGAATTCTTAATAAATTTATTTTTCTTTTGATTGAAACTTTGAAAGTCAAGCCTATCATCTTTTTGTAGTTCTTAAATATCGTCCAGATCATTAATAAAGCTGTAGCAGTATAGCCACGGTGTTTTACTTTTTACCTATGCAGGTTACAACATACAAATTACAATTAGGATGGTAGAAATAGTTGTTACAAATAGGCCAAGGGTCGGAGTCGGAGTCGGAAGCATAAAAATTTGAGGAGTCGGAGTCGAAGGTTTTGTCTTCGACTCCACAATAGTAAAAACATAAAAATAGTTTATGTTCAAGAGTCTCAAGCAAGATGTTACCTCTACTGACCAGAGATACAAACTGACGCCTGTTTGGTGAGTTGAGTGGCTGTTTGGCGCACTAAAAACTCATTTCCTGTACTTCAATTACGTTAAATAATTGTTAAAATTACAAAAAATTTAATATAAAACTTGGAAAATTATTGAATAGTACAACCCTCTTGATATTTACTCAAATGGGAATGAATTTAAGCCCTAGAACCAATTACTGTATTGGCAGAATAATATTCCAGCTGGTGAGCAAGAGAAAACATGTTGAGAGGAATTCGTAAGGAATTCGTCAACTAATTTTTTTTCGTTAAACGAATTGAATATTCTTTTCGTTAACCGAGGCGTTCGTTAACCAAGGAACCACTGTACTTATCAATCTCTCTAAAAAACTCTAGGTTTCGTGTTTATTGAAGACATCTTCAGGTCATGAGACCCACTTATCCCCCACCCAAGAAAGGGTGACCTGATATTCCATCAGAAGGTCAGTAATATGAGACCACTAATCCCCCACCCTACCTCCACCTGACACTGAGTACAGGTCAGGTACACAAGGCCCACTAATCCCCCACAGCTCCATGGGAGTGGAAAATACCAGTCTTTGCTGTAACACACAGCTTCATTCACGCCCATAAAGATTTTTAATTTTCATATATATTTATTTTACCAAACCTTTAGATAAACTATTCTGGATTATTATAGCAAAGAAATGAAGTTTCTAACTTAATTAGAACTGTATTTACGGACTCTGGTAGTTTAGACTCAAGTAAAACATCTCCAGCACCCAGAAACATTCTGGGGAAGTGGGCTAGTGTCTGTCTGTGCAAGATGTCTAGTTTAGACACTCGGAAACTTTTCCCAGTAACCGAAAAGGTTCTGAGGATAAGGAATTTTTCCGGGTTTGAGAAAGTCGTCTTGTTACCTGGAAATCTCTCATCCCCGGAAGTGCTCTGCACCAATTGTTCCGGCTAACGGGGATATCACTGTGTGTGTGTGTGTGTGTGTGTGTGTGTGTGTGTGTGTGTGTGTGTGTGTGTGTGTGTGTGTGTGTGTGTGTGTATATATACGGTATATATATATATTAATAAAACAAGATGTTTGGCCAGAAGAGTGCAAATGTCAGGTTAGACAAAAACACATGTGGTACTTTATAATAGGCCATCTTCCAGAACAGTGGGAGATGGTATTTTTACACTACTAAATATATAGGGTATATAATTTTTATAAACTAACCTGTGGATTCACTGATTGGAGTACAGCCTAGTCCTGGACGTTCTCTGAAGCCTAATCCTCGTCCCCCAAGAGCCTTCGCTTTACCTTGCTTAAATCGAGACTTACGGAACCAAGAGCTCTGCAAGGCTAGTTCCAATAGTTCAGACGGTACTTCCTGCGCAGCTCCTTCAAGGTTCCGTACCAAATGTCCTGCAAACTCCTTATCCTTATCTGTTACCAGTGTGTATGCCGTACCCTTCTCACCAGCTCGACCTTGAGGAGGAATATAAAAATCAGCATTTCTAATTTCTCAACACAGAGAAAACATTTTGAGCATTCACTGAATGTAATGGGTAAAAAGAGTTGAAAATAATCTATTTGGTGTGGAGACATGAAAAGTGTGAGTGTGAAGATGAGAGAGCTTAGGAATAGTAAGGCACCTAGAGTGAATGGAATCACTTCTGGAATTCTAAGGAAGGGATGTGAAAAGAGAATGGATGACAAGAGTGTACTGATAATTTATATATGAGAGAAAGTAGACTGCCAAAGAAATGGTAGATATCATGTATAGTCCGTCTGTATATAGAATAAAGCATAACAATGAATGTAAATATTATTGTGAAACAAATTTTTTAAGTACAGTAATCTGGGAGTGTGTGCAGTAGTGTCTGCTCAGAAAAGTATAAGGGCCAGAGCAGGACTTCCCTGGTGTGGGCTGAGATAGAGTAACAGGAGATTCTATTTCAGTCATTGATCTGGGGGGCTCAGTATATGACCTTCCCTGAGAATGAAGAGACCTGCCTACAATTTTCTCTATTTGGGAATTTTACAAACTGTCCTGCACATAAACAAAAGACTGATTTTACAAAATTTATTTCTGTGGTTTAAGAAGTAAAACAACATGACCCAGGAGGTCCTTAACTCAGTTCCTACGGAATTTTATTTACCAACTTCCCTTATTCATCATGAGTGATGTTTTGAATGGCCAACCACAAATGCTGGTTCAATAGGAAGATATTCTAAACACAATACCTAGGTGGTACGATCTATTACAGTCTTAACATTAAAATTATGAAGCTAAATTTGTTTCCTGTTCATAAATCAGTCAAACACAACTAGCAGCTTAAACAAGGTAAAATCCCCAGACTGCTAATTAGATTAAAAATTAAAATATGGGTAGGTGAGCAGATGTTTGTGTACTGTACTGTATATGCTTGAACCTTATATACAAAACATCTTTCCTCTTAATTTTCACCTGGGAAATCATCCTGCCTACTTGTTGGAGAATACCAAAGCAACCTTCACATGTTGATGTTATAATGCATTACTACTACACTTTAACAGCTACAGTCTTTAATCACTTGTGTATGGGATCCCCTCTGTACTGAATAAAATTGTTTGGCATTAGTAAAATAAAATATTAAAAGTATCCCCATAGTGAAAGGGTTATGTGCATACCTAGATTAGTAATCACACTAGTCCATCAACAACACAAATCATGTGTGAAGAACTGCAGAAGAATATAACTCACCTGTACGACCAATTCGATGCGTGTGAGTGTCTATGTCTCTGGCTACATCATAGTTAATAACAGTTCTGATATGGGGGATGTCTAGACCTCGTGCTGCTACATCAGTTGCAACCAAAATTGGCTTATCTTTTTTTTTAAATGCAGTTATAACTTCATTTCTCTCAAACTGACTCATATCACCATGCAGGAGCAGAGCTTCAAATTCTTTGGTCACCAGATTTTTGCTTAATTCCTCAGCATTAGCTTTCTTAGTAACAAATATTAACACACTGCCAGCAGACATAAATTCTACAAGGTACTGAACGAGCCAAGACCATTTATGACCACTTGAACTCAAAAGCCGAATAATCTGTGGATGGAAATAAAAAATCATTCACCAATAATTAGTGACGTATTCATAATGATAGTAACATTATTCTTACAAAAATATATACAGTAGTACCCCGATTTAAGCGGTCAATTGAACCCACAAGGTACCGCGGAAAGTGAAAACCGCGTAAAGTGAACAACAGAACATATGGGATTAATTCCAATAGAGACTGGCCTGACCCCCGAAGACCCCCCAACCTCCACTTTTTCCGACACAATACCTATATTGTAGTAAAAATAACATCTAAATTTTATGATGGTATGATCACACAATTAATATTTAAGAGAAATACAGTCGCCAGGTTAATGTCCATTTAAATAATGGACTCAAATCCCCTCTTCCCAGCTCACTAGCTCCTACCTCTCTGATTAATGTTTGGGTGAAAACTCTAGATTTTAACGTTTAGTAATAAATAATACCTCAGACTAAAGTTAGGATAATATAATTGACATTTCTGGATTCCTTGCAGGTCAGGGAATATTTTGAATGTAAACTTCATATATTTTGCACAAAAGATAAAATATTTGCTTTGTGTAAACCAAATTATTACTTTAGATCTAAAATTTGTATGTCTAATGCAAAATCCATGATGTTTATATTCAAAATGATCATCATATTGTAAGAATTCCAGCAATGTAAATTATATTCTGGCCGGGTAATTTGTATGAATTTTATGAGCTAAAACATATATCTTCAGTAAATAAACAAAGAAAATTCTTCAAGGACACTATCTATCAATCAAAATACTCCGCCCTAGCTGGGTCTGTCCCTCCCTCCCTCCCTCCCTCCCTCCCTACCAGAGAAGTGATTGGAAGAAAATAGTATATTTACATTTTTAGTAATAAATAATAACTCAGACTAAAGTTAGGATAATATAATTGACATTTCTGGATTTCTTGCAGGTCAGGGAATATTTTGAATGTAAACTTCATATATTCTGCACAAAGGATAAAATATTTGCTTTGTGTAAACTAAATTATTACATTAGATCTAAAATTTGTATGTCTAATGCAAAATCCATGATGTTTATATTCAAAATGATCATCATATTGTAAGAATTCCAGCAATGTAAGTTACATTCTGGCCGGGTAATTTGCATGAATTTTATGAGCTAAATAAAAAAATAAAAAATTTATACTTCACCGCGTATATGAGTAGAAGCACCGCGGAAAGTGAAAGTCTGGTTCTGGCAAGGTACCGCGTAAATGAGAAATCAGAAATCGCGGAAAGTGAAACCGTGTAAAGCGGGGTAATACTGTACAGTCAACCCTCACTTTACGCGGTTAATGTAACCCACAGGGTACCGCGGAAAGTGAGAAACGCGTAAAGTGAATAACATAACATATGGGATTAAATGAAATAGAGACCAGCTGACCCCCAAACTCCACTTTTTCCAACACAATACCTATGTTCTAGTAAAAATAACATCTTAATTTTATGATGGTACATGCACACAATTAATACTTAACAGAAATAGAGAAATACAGTCGCCAAGTTAATGTCCATTCAAATAATGGACTCAACTCCCTCCCCCTGTAATAGGCCCCTGTCTCATCAACAGAACGTATTATATAAATGGGTCAATACATCTGATATTATATTCAGATTCACCACCCTGTAACTTTCCACTGTCTATGAGTAAGACATGAGATGGACACGTGAGCGGGCAACTCACCCAAGAGGGCGAGACCCATAGCTCAGCATTTCTGTAAGCACGCACTGCGATGCCCCTAAGCTTCAGTAGCTCACCTCAACTCATATCGTAAGGACGTGACCTAACGTTTATCATACATAAACGCCGTCCCTTTCTCATTCACTCCTAGACAGTGAGACTTACGGTTGATATACACTCAGGAATTATATCTACAACCTTTTATAATAAAACAAAGGAACTACCGTTTGGGTTTCGTTACTTAAAACCCAAATATAAATATGTGTGAACGGACTGGTTAATTGGACAAGCAGCCGATTCATTCTCTTCACACTACACTCACTGGCCTTTTCCTCTCTGAGAAATTTTGGGGAAACCAGGTATAGTAATAAATAATACCTCAAACTAAAGTTAGATAATATAATTGACATTGCTGGATTCCTTGTAAGACTAGGGAATATTTTGAATATAAATGTCATATATTTTGCACAAAAGATAACATATTTACTCAGAGTAAACATTATATCTAAAATTTGTATGTTTAATGCAAAATCTATGATGTTTATATTCAAAATGATCATCAAATTGTAAGAATTCCAGCAATGTAAATTATATTCTGGCCGGGTAATTTGTATGAATTTTATGAGCTAAAACAAATATCTTCAGTTAATAAAAAAAAAATATTCTTCACGACACTATCTGTCAATCAAAGTACCCCACCTTGCCTCCCCCCCTCTTTCAACCGACCAGATGGTCAGTTAGTCCCAACCCTCCCCCCCACCCCTCCCTTCAAGAGAAAGGTTGGGTGAAAAAACTAGATTTTAGCATTTAGTATTAAATAATACCTCAGATTAAAGTTAGGATAATATAGTTGACATTGCTGGATCCCTTGTAAAACCAGGAATATTTTGAATATAAATGTCATATATTTTGCACAAAAGATAACATATTACTCAGAGTAAACATTATATCTAAAATTTGTATGTCTAATGCAAAATATATGATGTTTATATTCAAAATGATCATCAAATTGTAAGAATTCCAGCAATGTAAATTATATTCTGGCCGGATAATTTGTATGAATTTTATGAGCTAAAACAAATATCTTCAGTTAATAAAAAAAAAAATATTCTTCACCCGTGCCAGGTGGTCGGTCGCCGGTCCCTCTCTCCCTCCCACCCCCCACCAACCCTCCCTACCAGATGAATGTGTGGGAATACCAGACTGTTTACCTTTTTAGTAATAATTAATAAATCAGACTAAAGTTAGGATAATATAATTGACATTGCTGGATTCCTTGTAAGACCAGGAATATTTTGAATATAAATGTCATATATTTTGCACAAAACATAACATATTTACTCCGAGTAAACATTATATCTAAAATTTGTATGTCTAATGCAAAATCTATGATATTTATATTCAAAATGATCCTCAAATTATAAGAATTCCAGCAATGTAAATTATATTCTGGCCGGATAATTTGTATGAATTTTATGAGCTAAATAAAAAAATTACACTTCACCCGCGTCTGGCAGGGCACCGGTGGAAACGCGGAATGTGGGACCACGTAAAGTGAGGGTTGACTGTATACTGTACATACATACATTAAACCTGGCACTGACTGACACTTAGAAAATAAGCATAAAATTTTATTCTATAGTATCACCATGTTTCATTATTTGCTAGACAAGAAATGTGTAATACTTACCTTTAAGGAAACTTTGCAGTTACAGTATCACATATTGTAAAAGTACAGTACTGTGCACACAAAAGAGGCAGCATTATTTTAAAATTTACTAAACACTTCAGTTCTCCAATACAGTAATTTCTCTATTAGCCGGAACAATTGGTGGAGAGCACTTCCGGGAATGAGAGATTTCTGGGTAACAAGACGACTCTCTTAAAACGGGAAAAAAATCCCTCATCTCAGGAATTTTCTGGATAATGGAAAAATGTTCTCGGAAGTTCCAGAAAATGTGCCCCTCGGAAATTCCGGCTATCAGAGAGTTTTGGTGAAGAGGGATTCCGGCTAACGGAGATACAGTGGTCCCTCAGTTAACGAATAAGCTCCCATAAGGATCGTCAATTCGGTTAACGAACAAAACTCCGATTAATGAAATCCTTATGACAAACACGTTTTGTTATGAGCATCAGCTGATTGGCTAGTCCACCAATACAGTGGTCCCTCGGTTCCAGAAGGTCGTTCGTTAACCAAAAATTTCGTTAACCGAAACCATTGTTTCAATGGGATATTGGTAATTGGTTCCGGCTCACAGAAAAGTATATACAAAGTAAAGTCAGAATATAATTTACATTGATGGAATTCTTATAAGATAGAGATTAATTTGAATATAAACAAGCTAAAATTTGCATTAGACATACAAATTTTAGATCTGATTTAAGAATTTTATAAGGGAGAGCAAAAATTTTATCTTTTGTGCAAAATATATGAAGCTTATATTCAAAATATTCAAAATATTATTCAAAAATTATATTACCCTAACTTTTGTCTGAGGTATTATTTATTTTTAAACCTGTAATCCTAGTCTTTTTACCCAAACGTTTCTCAGGAAGGTGGAGGGTAGGGAGGGAGGGGTGACAGTGACATGTTTGACAGTTGGCGCCTGTGGTGTGAAGTATTTAATTGTTAGTTTATTTTTTTTTCTTTTAGATTGAGTTTTTGTTTTTTGTTTATAAAATTTAATAGAAGTGACCAGGGTGAATTTAATTTGTATTGCTGGAATTCTTATAAGATAGTGCTTAGTTTGAATATAATTGACATTGCTGGATTCCTTGTAAGACCAGGAATATTTTGAATATAAATATCATATATTTTGCACAAAAGATAACATATTTACTCAGAGTAAACAAAATACTTAGAGTAGATCTAAAATTTGTATGTCTAATGCAAAATCTACGATGTTTATATTCAAAATGATCATCAAATTGTAAGAATTCCAGCAATGTAAATTATATTCTGGCCGGGTAATTTGTATGAATTTTATGAGCTAAAACAAATATCTTAAGTTAATAAAAAAAAATATATATTCTTCACGACACTATCTGTCAATCAAAGTACCCCACCTTGCCTCCCCCCTCTTCCAACCGTGCCAGATGGTTGGTCGGTCCCTCCCTACCAGAGAAATGTGTGGGAGAAACAAGAATATTTACCTTTTTAGTAATAAATAATACCTCAGACTAAAGTTAGGATAATATAATTCACATTGCTGGATTCCTTGCAAGACCAGGAATATTTTGAATATAAATGTCATATATTTTGCGCAAAAGATAACATATTTGCTCTGAGTAAACAAAATACTTGCATTAGATCTAAAATTTGTATATCTAATGCAAAATCTATGATGTTTATATTCAAAATGATCATCAAATTGTAAGAATTCCAGCAATGTAAATTATATTCTGGCCGGATAATTTGTATGAATTTTATGAGCTAAATAAAAAAAATTATACTTCACCCGCGTACATGAGTAGATGCACCGCGTAAAGTGGGAATTCCAATTCTGGCAGGGTACCGCGTAAATGTAGAAACGCGTAAAGTGAAACCGCGTAAAGTGAGGGTTCACTGTATGTACTTTTCTGTGAGCTGGAACCAATTACTCAATATCCCATTGAAACAATGGTTTCGGTTAACGACATTTTCGGTTCATGAAAGACTGTGGAACGAATTGTGTTCGTTAACCGAGGGACCACTGGTACTGTATTAATAATCTCACAAATTCAAAAAACATCTCAAAATCATGAGGGTGAATTCTTGGTGGTGCATAAGTGCTTCTATATGTACTCCTAATTTGTATAACAACTATGAGCAAAAAATATTTAATAATCATCGCTAACTCATGTATGTTTGAACAATGACCGTAAAATATTTTTTATATAAGTTTGTTGTAAAAATACAAAATACCTGTAAACTGTACTTTACTGAACAAGTCACACAATGGTTTATAAGTACATAAAGCCAATATGAACAACGTGAGATAATTTTATCCCTAGAAAACAATGTACAGTACAAATAAATTTCTGAAGTTTCATACCTGTGTTACATCCTGGTTTGCTTCTCCAAGTTCTCCTTGTACTACACGGACAGGGTCTGTCAAGACATCTCTAGCCAGTCTCTCAACTTTTCTCTTGAAAGTGGCTGAGAAGAGGAGAGTTTGACGATCTGGCCGAACATGGTCACATATAGACCTTACCTAAAATAATATTGCAGGTTATATTGACTATCTTATTGGACAGATAACATTAAATATTATAAAAAACATATATAAAAATAATACCGTATATACTCATGTATAAACTGATCTCATATATACAGTAGTTCGACCTCTGATTTTGGGGCAAAAAAAAGCCCGAGTTTTTCATATAACTTGTAAAATTTGATCCGAGCTTTTGAGAAATACTAGATATAATCCTCGACATAATTTGTAGCAAGACACCAGATTCACACCAACGTGCCTTTGCCATGATCACCACCACAACAGCTGATGCTATGAACACTGTTACCAACTCTGAAACTGAATTCCCACCCGTTACCAAACTCCTATAAGGAATAAGATAAAATGATATACGTAGACCTGTACCAGTAAATTTTTATCATGTGAAGGTTAGATAAATATTAATACTGTATGTAAAATAAAACAAAAGAATACTATAATGCCATTTGGCTGCTGATAAAATTTGTCAATCATTTAAATACACAAGGGAGACAGCTCAAAACAGCTGAGTTATCACCCCCGTTCAGTGTGAACTCTTAACACACGAAGAAAGTTTATTCCTTTTATGTTTTTGACTTTATGAAAAAATTTTGGGGCACATTCTGAATGTAAGATTGAGTGTGCATGTAACAAAAAAAGAAGAAAATTACGTATATCTGCCTGAATTTACAAATTGAAAAATAACCATAACAGCTGGCCTGGAGTGGTAGGGGAGGGCTAAGGGGATGTACAGTCAGTTCTTCTATAACGCGATAGTTGTGTTCTTGTAAAACATCGTGTTATAGAAATTCGCGTAATAGAAATAACAGGGCTTATGGAGAAAATAGGATTAGGTGCAGATTACTACTCGAAATCGAAAAAAATTTAGTAGTTAGCCTAACACAAAGGATAGCACAGTCTAAATAAATGTTACATTCATATCTAATAATGAAATCATACAGTAAATGTAACACTTTACCTTGAAAAAATATGAATATAACTTGATGGGGGAGAAGGGTGATTTTGAGGTTGATAACATCGAGCTTCTCTTCAAGGGTTATATCCTTTCTTTTACGATCATCACCGGGAATTCGATCACCAGAACGCTTCTTGGAGATATTCTTCTTTACCATATTCACAGTTAATACAACAAAATTGGAGAAATAGTAAGCAAAAATTGCGTTACAGCAAACAAGCGTTCGCGTTATACAAATATCGTTCCTCTATTCATAAATCGCGTTAGAGCCAATTTGCGTTGTCAAAACACGCGTTATAGCAGAACTCACTGTAACTATAGTGACGGGTCTTGTGTTACTATTACAAATACAAAACTAAAATAAAATACAAAAAACATAAGGAATATTATTACAGATGTAAAGTAACGGCCTACAAGGTACATTAAAAGAGTGAAGCAAACTCTCAACCTCCTTTCCCAGTATTCATAAACCATACTACCTACCTTGCTTATGTTATTAATAATTGTGCTACTTCAAACAACATTTGTATACGACCTAGATGAAAAATGCAGCTAAAACCATTAAAGAAAAGCTAAATGAAAGTTTAACACAACTGCCATTTGCATAGACACTGGCTGCTTGGCCTCAACACCAGTCATAGCAACGGAGCCCAGCTGGGACACTGCCTCTGTTGACTCCCTAGCAATGCCCCCCAACACACACTCCACTACCTCCTCCTCCCCTACTCAACCTGCTAACTCATCCACAAAGAAATGCTTAGTCCTTTATGTGTCTGGCCTCATAATTATTTATTTTACCCCCCTTTTTTTGTGTACATATTTTGTATGTAGGATTGTGTGTACACATATCTGACAAAAAAAAAGACAAGAAAAAGGTTACATATACATTATACTCTAAATTTAACGTAATCAGATATAACGAACTCTCAATTTAGTGGAATGCATTTTTTCCGTTATTTTTGCTTGATTTAGTGAACTAGTTCGCTAAATCAAGATTAATTCCGTTAATACACTCACACCTACAGACACATGATACAGTACAGTAAAACCTGCTTCACCTACGGTGAATGTACTAAATGTACAAAAACGATAAAAGGCATTTTATTGTTTTTGGTTTTTTTCTTTACAGAATTAGCCAACCAAGGCACAGGTCAATGACCTACATCAGGGCCTGGGATCATCATCATCATCATCATCATCATCATCATCATCATCATCATCATCATCATCATCATCATCATCATCATCATCATCATCATCATCATCATCATCATCATCATCATCATCATCATCATCATCATCATCATCATCATCATCATCATCATCATCATCATCATCATCATCATCATCATCATCATCATCATCATCATCATCATCATCATCATCATCATCATCATCATCATCATCATCATCATCATCATCATCATCATCATCATCATCATCATCATCATCATCATCATCATCATCATCATCATCATCATCATCATCATCATCATCATCATCATCATCATCATCATCATCATCATCATCATCATCATCATCATCATCATCATCATCATCATCATCATCATCATCATCATCATCATCATCATCATCATCATCATCATCATCATCATCATCATCATCATCATCATCATCATCATCATCATCATCATCATCATCATCATCATCATCATCATCATCATCATCATCATCATCATCATCATCATCATCATCATCATCATCATCATCATCATCATCATCATCATCATCATCATCATCATCATCATCATCATCATCATCATCATCATCATCATCATCATCATTCATCATTCATCATAATAATAATAATAAAATTTAAAAAATATTAAATAAAAATACAATTTACTATACAGTAAGATCTTGTATTTCGCGAGTAATATAGACTGGAAAAATTGCTCCAAATTCAAATTTGCCAAATGCAAATACTGTACATAAACTAATGGGAAAAATAAAAATATAGACTGGCCACTCTACATCAACCTCTGATTTTCCCATTTATAACCTCCAAATGATAAAAATTATGCAGATAAAGATAAATCATTATTAAACAATGCATAAACACTTAAATATAGTAGCACTTACCAGTTAGCCCAAACTTGATGAGCTTGGGTGATGTTGGATATCCGAGGCTGGGGATGGGCAGGCTGGTTGGAGCCTCCTCCCCAGCTCTCCTCTCCACCTGGCTCTCCTGGTTCAAATCCTAGGAAGTCCTCGGTGGTAATATCTGGCAAATCCTGTGTTTTTTCCTCCACCTCTTCTCCAACATCGATGTTCTGGAGTGCATCACTAACGTGTTGGCATTGTGTGGGGTACAGTGTGATTAATGACTGCTGGTGTTTGTTTATCTTTCGCTGGTATCTTGGCATAAAAGTGTTGGTGATGGCCTCCACTTTGCTCACCAGTGATGCACGCTCATTCTCATTCTCGGACAACTCTTCAACCAGTTCTTGGAGGTTCAAACAAGTGCTGAGCATCAGAGACAACTTGCTGGTTGTGATCTTGCGTTCCAGTTCCTCTCCAGCATCGCCTTCACCTGCCTCGTCAGATGACTCATCCAGCATTTATTCATCATTCTCCTTCAGCATTTTGTTGAGTCTGTTCTGCAACCACCTCACAGAAACCAGGTGCTGGGACACTCCTTGCACTTCCTACTGCAGCTCCGCCTCATGCTGCACAGCCAACCTTGCGTTACTCAGGTGTGGGAAGAGGGGTTTCCAAGCATGTTTAATGGTTGCCAATATGATTTTGTTCCGTGAGGCTACAATGTGGTCCACAGCATGTCGGATATGAAATTGCTTCCAGAACTGCTTGACAGAGAGCACATTATGTCGAGTGATGTCACTACGGGAGTTGCTAGCAGGGTCTTGCGGCAAGGTGGGGGAGTTGCCAGAGGTGCCGACTGAAGAAGGGTCGTCTTCCACATCGCTATCATTAGTGTTGTTGATTTCGTTCACTTAAATCTTGAGAGTCTGTGGCTTTCCCCATTCTGTCGTGAACTGCCTTATAGTAAAGCAACCTCACATTGGCAATTATTTTTTGATCAAGTCGTTGCAGTATGGAGGTTGCATTAGGGGGGGCAGGAACACCACCTGAACATTAGGATGTCTGCCAACCAGATACCGGGCATGGCCAGGAGCATTGTCCATAAATAGAAGCAATTTAATATCTAAATTCAAGTTCGGCAGTTATGTCGTGAGTCGGGCACAAACCACTCATGGGAAATATTTTGCGTCATGTAGCCCTTGTGATTTTGTTTCCAATACACATACAAGTTATTCATGTCAAAATTGCGGTAGGCATGAGGCTTCTTTGATCGGTAAACAACTAAGGGCTTCATCTTATGCTGACCTGATGCATTTGTGGCTAGTAAAGGAGTGAATTGGTCTTTAGCCATATTTACCCCACGTGCCTGTTTGTCATCCTTTGATATAAAAGTAGCACGGAGAGATTGTTTCCAGTAGAAACCCGTTTCATCACAAATATAACTTTGATCCAACGAGTATCTACCTTCTTCTACAAGTTGCTTTGCTATCTCGGGAAATGAACTTGCAGCCTCCTCATCTGCAGACGAAACCTCTCCACGGTACCGTGCATATTTCACACCACCACGTCTCTTAAAGTTTGCCAGCCAGCCAACAGAAGCACCAAATTGAGGGGGATTATTTATGTTTTTCTTGCGAAATATTGCAGCATAAGAGACCAGGGCTTGGTCTCAAATTTGTGATCCATCAACACTTGCATTTTCTGTCACACAGCGGACAAGTCACTTGCTCAAAAAATGTTCTGTCATAGATATCAGCCTGGTTTTCTCAGAGGATTCATACACAACTCTATTTGACACACCAACATTTCCACCAAAGAACTTCTTTGCCACTCCCAAAGACTTCTTTATCTCATCTTTCTTTGCCTTCATTGACCTGATTGTGCTTTTCGGAAAACCAGTAATCTTTCTTATCTCACTAGTTTTAAGGCCTTCCTCAAGTAACTTAATCACACGCTGCTTATCCTGCATCGAGTACTTGGCAAACTTAACTCCCTTATGATAGTCCCGCTTCTCCTTTTCCTTATTTGGCCACTTAGGTGGGTCTGTCCCACCCCTACCAGCACGACCCCCAGTAGAGGTAAAGGCCATTATCTTGACTCGACAAGTGGTAGCACCAACAAAAAACTTGCACAATAACAACCCGGGCGGTCAGTCGGATGGCGCGGGAACAACTAGTACGACGGTTGCGACGTCATTCAAGACGTTGGCCAGCGTTCAGCTGGCTGGATCTTTCAAAATTCACAATATTTTACCCCAAATATAAGACTTGGTTACATTAGGCAGTGCTTGCAAAATTCAAAAATGCGAAATGAAATATTGCGAAATATGAGATCATACTGTAATATAATAAAAATAATAATAAAGGACCATAAATACAAAAAAAGAAAAAGAAAATGATCAAGATTGAGAAACAATAAACATTATACGTATGCTGTGTTGTCAAAGTAAAAGAAACAATTGAGACTGCAATTGTGTGTAAATGAGGCAGAAAGTCAAATCAGCAACCTGGGACCTGGTCACAATTTTTGTGATGCCATATAGCAGCAGGGTCTACCATCAGACAACACATTATACTTCCAATATATTCCAAGGTGGCAGTACCTCCCTGTTAGGTAGCTACCTGAGAAAATTTTGTGAAAATCACTCCAAACCCTTCTGCTCCAGGCCTGGGGACGAAGGTTCCCAGCATTATGAAAGACTGCACAATGTTTAACCTCATCCCCACATGGTTGGTGCGTGGGTGGGAAGACCAACCACTGGGGTAATGCTGGATTTTTTCTGCTCTGGGTCTATTTATAATTACTGTACAAATATATATATTTCTTTAAATGTTCATATAATACTAAAAAGGTAAAATAATACAATAATAAATCAATGTAATTCAGAGCTGAGCTAATGAGGTGAAGGGTGAGGTGACGAGGCAGGTGGTGAGGCGAAGAGGCAGGTGGTGAGGTGACGAGACAGTAGGTGAGGCGACGAGGCAGTAGGTGAGGTGACCAGTCAGGTGGTGAGGAGACGAGTCAATAGGTGAGGTAACGAGGCAGTAGGTGAGGTGACGAGGCAGTAGATGAGGTGACGAGGCAGTAGGTGAGGTGACCAGTCAGGTGGTGAGGAGACGAGTCAGTAGGTGAGGGAACGAGGCAGTAGGTGAAGTAACGAAGCAGTAGGTGAGATGACGAGTCCGGTGGTGAGGTGACGAAGCAGGTGGTGAGGTGACCAGTCAGTTGGTGAGGTGACGAGGCAGGTGGTGAGGTGACCAGTCAGGTGGTGAGGTGACGAGGCAGGTGGTGAGGTGAGGTGAAGAGGCAGTAGGTGAGGTGACGCAGGCAGAAGAGGTGACGAGGCAGTAGATGAGGTGACGGCAGTAGGTGAGGTGACAAGGCAGTAGGTGAGGTGACGAGGGCAGTAGGTGAGGTGACGCAGGCAGTAGGTGAGAGGTGACGAGGCAGTAGGTGAGGTGGGGACGAGGCAGTAGGGCAGGTGACGAGGTAGGCAGGTGATGAGGAGGCAGTAGGTGAGGTGACCAGTCAAGTGGTGAGGTGACGAGGCAGTAGGAGAGGTGATGAGGCAGTAGGTGAGGTGATGAGGGCAGTAGGTGAGGTGATGAGGCAGTAGGTGAGGTAACAAGGTCAGAGGTGAGGTGAGGACGAGGCAGTAGGTGATGTGACCAGTCAGGTGGTTAGGTGACGAGGCAGTAGGTGAGGTAACAAGGCAGTAGGTGAGGTGACGAGGCAGTAGGTGAGGTGACGAGGCAGTAGGTGAGGTGACGAGGCAGTAGGTGAGGTGACCTTTCTGCTTTCTCACTCAAATTTTTAAAATGTTATGCAATGTAATGTTAAAGGGATATAACTTTGCTCATTTATACGTGTCACAATCTCCTTAAAAATACTTCAGCTTTCGTGTTTATTCAAGACATCTTCAGGTCATGAGACCCACTAATCCCCCACCCAAAAAAGGTGACCTGATATTCCATCCCTGTAAATTCAGTTGCCTCTGATGATGTCTTGAATAAAAATGAAAGCTAAGGTGCTCCAGTGTACTTAGTTGACTGAGAGGTAGTAGGACACAGACTAAGCGGATGTAAACAAACCTGACGTGCCAAGCGACACGTGGCGTGTTAAGCGTGAAATTTAACGGAATCACGCTTGATTTAGTGAAATAGTTCGGTAAATTGAGTGAACATAACAGAAAGCTCGATTTAGCAGAAAATTCGATTGAACAAACAGAGGTGGCTCCAATTACTTCGTTAAATTGAGATAATACTGTATCTACCCAAAATTATGGGTTGAAAAATAACCAAACACCTCACAGCTCAGCCTGGTTACAAGAGGGTTAGGGGAATGTGGCTATACTGACGAGTCTAACTTGGTAACAAAGCTGCCAGTGATGTTAACAAATGCAAATGCAAAAAAAAAATTACAGTCCTGTATCTGTAAATCTTCATTTGTGTCAGGTATTTATAGAAATAAGGGGATTGTCTGGCTTAGATCGATGAAAAACTAAAAAAACAAAAATCCTAAGCAAATGTGTTGCCTACGGCTATAAGTGGACGGAGTCTTATAGCGATATTCGCAATATTTTGTAGTTGTGTATGGTCCCCCCCACCTTCCCACGCATCCTTGAGTATGATTGTGGTAAAGAAAATTTCCCCAAAAATATGGAATAAATAGCACAAAAAAGAATTTTGAAATTCATTTCAGGCAACTCTCTTCCTATCTGGTAAGTGTAGGGAGGTGGACGCAGTGTTATCAGTGAGTCTCGGTCCTTGTCAAGGAGAGGTGTGTACTCTGCTGGTGCAGTAGAGTACTGCTGTACTGCTGTACCAGGCTTCTCTCCTCAAATATCAGGATGGCATGTGATTCAAAACATAAAAGACAACAAACGGAAGCACGTACCAAGGGCATTGCTAAATCCAAGAGGATGAAAGAAGAAAATAACCACTAAAACTGAAGACAGTAACAGCCGTCTCAGTGGGCACCTGAGGCAACCCAGCCCCAGCCTTCCACCCCTCCCCTCTACCTCACATAAAGAATATAACTGGAGTTCAGTTGGAGATGTAAAAATACACAAAAAAAACAAAACAAGATATTACATGTAAAATTGGCTCAGAATGATCACTTACACAGGGGAGAAAGGTTGAGAAACTTTATTGGCCTGTATCTTAAAATGAACTTTTCTAACACAGACTGACAGTTCTCTGCCAGTTTGTGACCAATTTTAGCGAAACAAACACTCAGCACAGGAAGAACCTTTCCTCAACATAACTACAGATTCCAATATTTTCTATCTTGTAAGATTTATTGTTGGTTGAATATTTTATCTTGATATTTTGACAACAATTTCTACCAAACTTAATAAATTTATATCCCTAAAACAAAAAGACAAAAGCAAACATATTGCCCTGTAATATTCAATGACAGTACTAGATCTCTTAGCAATATCAATTTAAAGGCAAAGAAAGAAGCAATGGAGAAATAATACCTTGAAAATTGAGAAAGGGGTGAGAAAGGGTGTAAAGGGTTGAAAAATTTGAAAGGGTAGAAGGGGGCTATGGGGCTAGAATTGATGTACATATGATCCTTGATTGATGACAAGAATATATCATAACAATCGACCAAAATTAAAAGCACCTACACCTTAAACCAAACTCCCCATTTAAAGTGGCATATTCAGTTAATGAGCAAGGGGTATATGGTAGACAAGCCCAAGATAAAGGAGCTTACTAGTAAGGTTAACCTACCACAACCATGTACTAGGTAGCTATCGTGCACCATAAATGATTCACGGAAATACATTAATTTTTAACCCCTCAAAATTATTTTACTGTATTCAAGTATTCCTGTACACAGTAAACAAAACCAAGGATTATGATCAATGAACAAATAATATAAAATCCATCATTTTCAACCCAAATAAATGGTGATACAGTATTAAAAATTTCCAAAAACATGACAGAAATGAACTTACTTGAGGTTCAAAACCCATATCAAACATGCGATCCGCCTCGTCAAGAATCAGGAATGTCACACGCTGGAGATTCGTGGCTTTCATCTTAATCATATCAATCATTCGACCAGGTGTGGCTACAACAATTTCTGCTCCTGCTTCTAGTGCTTTACTCTGTTCCCATTTGCTGCCACCACCATAAGCACACACAACCTGTAAGCCAAATACATAAAATATTTTTTAATGCTTTCAAACCTTTTCCCCTTTAATACAACATAGCCAGATTCAGGAACAAACACACACAGACATTCTTCCTTCATTCATTCTTACTGATGTAATTTATACGTTCTGCTATAGTACAGGCATCCCCCGCGTTATGGAAGCCCGGGTAACGGAATTTCGCTCTTACGGAATTTGTAAATTATGACCAATAATTTCGCGTTACGGCCCGTAAATCCGCCCTTACGGAAATTGGGGTAAATTTTAACAAACACAAGGCCTCACACATGCCATTCAGACTGACAGACTTGACAAGTTTTACCAACCATAAAGACAGTTGAAGCTTTAAACACCACTCACAATGGATCTTGAATATTCCAACTGTAATCAGACATACCTAAGTTGCCTCAACAATTGCAACCCCAGTTGCAATATCAAATTCTGTGTCACCACTAAAAAATAAAACAGTAGTAACTGGTGCACTCTTAAGATTAAAAGAAAACGGACGACTCAGGCGGCCTTGAAGTGAGAGAAAACGGACTCCTATGACGGGGCACTCAAATAAACATACACATAGCTGTATAATACAATATTATGCAATATTAACCCCTAAATTGGTGTTTTAAGAAGGTATATCATAAATTATTTAATGTACTGTATTGTATGTGTTTATAAATGTTTATTTTCATTAATAAAAGTGCTTGAATTACTTTTTTGGGGCCCAAAAAATTCCTTAGGAACGCATCTCCAGTTTTATAATGGAAGTCAATGGGAAAATAGGTTTCTCGTTACGGAATTTCGCGATACGGTCAATGTTCCGGGAACAGAACCCTTCCGTAACGCGGGGGATGCCTGTACTCCTCTTACACAAAGCCCCAAATGTGGTTTACCCTCGTCTCTCCACACAAGCGAGCAACACCCACCAGAATCATCTCTTCCCCCCCAAAAAATCATTCCATTCAATTACACACACACACACACACACACACATACTGTTTTGTGGATGTCCATTCCCCTCAGCCCATCCTTCCATCTTCTAGGTCTTACTTCTTCCCTCCTACTATGTATTCTTTTTCCAATCTTTCAAAACTTCCCATTCTCTCAATAAGTCCACTCCATCTGCACAGACCCTCATCCAATCTCTGTGCAATACTTCTTTCACTTCCTTATCTCCTCTCATATCAACGCATCCACATCAATCAAATTACAATTCATTTCTCTATCCACCACAACATTCTCTAACAATCCTTACATTCTTCAGAGGGTATGAGAGCATAGCGTTGAGTACTTTAAGGAAATGTTACAACCTCAGTGAATGGATGACAATAAATAAGAGTGAGTGCGTGCCTGCTTTTTGTTCTCACCATCCTGCAACATAACAGGAAAGAAACTAAAAAAGAAAATATGAAGATCGACCAGAATCATATAAACACATTTAATAGAAAGGCATTCACTTTGTAGGCTTGTGAAAGAGGTATCAACCAAAAAACAAAAAATTTGAAATGTAGATGGTGGAATATTGCATTACATATGAATAATGGTTGCATAAGTATATACAGAGGAAAATGACTGTAACTGACCTGTATGTTATAAACCTTGCCAAATCTTCGTGCCTCTGTATAAATTTGCTGTGCCAGCTCACGGGTAGGCGCTAAGATGAGACCAATTGGTCCTTCTTCTGGAGCTAGTTCTCTTTGGTCCATAATATGAACCAACATCGGCCAGATAAAAGCTGCTGTCTTACCACTGCCTGTTTTTGCAATTCCAATGGCATCCCGTCCACTTAATGCAATTGGAACTGACTGGGACTGAATGGGTGTGGGTTGGGTGTATTCTGATTTACGGATGGCTTTCATTAGGGCCTCATCAAAACCAAAGTGCCCAAAACTTGTTACGGGTTTAGGGGCATCAAAACCTGTAACCTGTAAACAATACACAGTAAAATAACTCTTCAGGCATGACATAAAAATCTTTACATTTTCAGTAAACATTTCTCACTATAAAACTCATACAAGTCCTTCACTAAACATTATAAGGTACCTACATCTAAGCATTCTTTCATGATGACTCTCACACCCACATGTCCTCCTCTGTCATTTGAAGTTGTTTTCTGTCCTACCCAAGACACTCATTCCACCTACTATTAGATGCACTCTTTTATTCCCTTCATCCACATTTACTGTCTAAATCCATCCCATCTCAAGACATCATCTCTTGCTTCATATTCCCCATTATCTTAATTTTTCATTTATCCATACTCGTGACTTCAACCCACTTTCGTAATTTCTTACAATTCTCCCCATTCACTCTCCTTGTCATGTTGCTGTTAAGATTAATAATCCAAAATTATATGCTTGCTATGAGTTACAGTGAACCTTGCACCAAACCCCATTAACCATGAAAATTATGATTTGTTTTGCATTACTCTTTTCAGAGGTCTGGCAATTCTACCTATTTTTCAGTGTTGTCTACAAGATTTCTGTTCCTTTATAGGGACTAAATCCTTCTTGTTACTTCAACCCACTTAACAGAAAATTTTGATGCTTCTTATGGCTCTCCTTCTACACTGTAAGCACTTAGTTCCCTCGTTATGTCATGCTCTAAACAAACCCTTTCAACATGTACTACTGCTGTCATACACAAATACTGTACAGTATATGCCAGTTGGACCATTCAGTACAGAGGGGGTTAAAGCATAATGCAATCATTCAATTACAGCTCAAAAAACACTTTCTATAATTAGTTAAAGATGCAGACATACACAATCTCTTTAAAACTTTTCCAAAACTAACAACACCGTCAGAAACTCCAATTTGTACAAACCCTTTTCCCTTGTACTGTACTCAATATGGCCCCCTCTTATTACATAACTCACAGAAATATCATTTATAAATGTTAAACAATTGTAGGCTTCTGACAAAATTTCAGATTAGGATTAACCACATAATTATTACACCCTCTTGGTGAGAAGCATCACTGGAGGAATGAACTTTTCAATCAATGTGCACTCAGAACATAAAACTTGCCAGAACTTACCACCAACATATAGAAATGACAATTAATATCTATTTATAAAAACATTATAAAAACCTATTAATGTATACCTTAATCCCTAGTTTGACTCTCAGATCATGAACTTGAGTGGGCGTGAGAGCAGCAATATCCTCATGCTCTTGATAGAAGTTTTTGGTAAAATCTGAATATTCAATGGTAATGTGTTCAATGGGTGGCAGCGGATCTATGTACTTCGGCTTCTTAGGAGCAATAGGGTTTCCATCCTCATCATATTCAATTTCATCTTCGCTATCCTCTTGTTGCCTGTCAAACATTTTGTAATATAAGTGTGTTCCAAAAATTGTTCAGACAAAAATTTATGCAAACATAGACACAAAGTGTAAGTACAGTACATACAGTATAAAGGGTTTAAACAGATACATTAGGCTACAAAAAGTGAAAAAGGTAAGGGTGTGGTATTAAGATGATGAAGGACGAACAGAGCAAATGTAAATGAAGACAAAAAAATATGTACAGGTATACTGTACATGTATCCACATTTTTGCCTACACATGAACAATGAAGAAGCTCTTTCAGACACACTCTGATACAAACACTCTTTATACATATTCACTCACTCTTTACACATATTTACAACACTCTTAATCCCATATACACAATCACATACAGTCCTACATAATAATATACAGGTTGACAACCCTTTATCCGAAATTCCGAAAACCGAAAAGCTCTAAAAGCGGAAAGTTTTTTGTGGGGCATTTATTTTTTTATTTTTTTTTTTTTTACAGGATTATTAGCCCAGCCAGGCACAGATCACTGACCCACATCGGGGCCTGGGGGGCAAAAATGTAATATTAATAATAATTATTCTTAGAAAATAAAATTTTTAATAATTATACACCAAAATAAAATAATAATGATTACAATAATAATAATAATAATAATAAAATATAATAATAAAATTAATAATAATAATAATAATAATAACAATAATACTGTAATAATAAAATAATAATACAGTAAAGAAATACAAGAATGAAAAAAAGATCAAAAGTGAGAAACACGACCTAGACCTATGAATTATTATTATTTTTATTATAATTTTTATTATATTTTAGACCCCCAGGCCCCAATGTGGGTCAGTGATCTATGCCCGGGTGGGCTAATAAATACACACATAAAAAAAAAAAAAAAAAAAAAACCCTAACCATTCTGAAAACCGAAAAATTCCGAAAACCGAAATGCCTCTGGCCCCAAGGATTTCGAATAAAGGATTGTCAACCTGTAGTAATGTCTCAGTTAGACGGAATCCCTCACACCCAGAACTCGACAATAGCCGGAATTGAAATTTGCTCGAAATTTTTACAGAAAATTTCTTAAATTCCAGGCTTGGGAACAAATTCTGAGGTTGAAAATTTTCTGAGAATCTGAAAAAAATAAAAATAAAAACTAATGCACAATTACCTGAAAAATCTGAGAAAATTGCAAAAAATTATTTACAAACCTTTCTACTCCGGCCCTGGGGACAAAGGTTCTCGGTATCGGTAAATGACAAAATATTGCGTCATGCTCCTGGGTCCTCTGTGCGTGGGTGGGGGGAGATTGGGAAGACACTTGAATAATTTAGGTCATATGCTTGTGCACTTTGATTGGCTAATGCTGTCATGTGGCCTCCTGGGATATCTGTGGTAGGAGGTCATCCTAAAGCAGCGAGATCATCCTAAAACTATATCTTGCACTTGTGAGACCTCACTTGGATTACGCAGTTCAATTCTGGTCACCGTATTACAGAATGGATATAGAATCCTTGGAAAGAATTCAGAGGAGAATGACAAGACTAATCACAGGCATTAGGAACCTTGAGTACAGAGACAGGTTAAAGCATCTTAATTTGCACTCCCTCGAGAGACATAGAGTGAGGGGCGATATGATAGAGGTGTATAAATGGGATTCAGGGCTAAACAAAGGGGACATTACAAAGGTACTCAAACTATCCAACCAGAAGCAAACTCGCAACAATGGTTTTAAATTAGAAAAATTTAGATTTAGGCGAGAAATAGGTAAACATTGGTTTGGAAATACAGTATAGTCTTCATTTATGCGGTCAATTGAACCCGTGGAGGTCCGCGTAAAACGAGAAACGCGTAAACGAAATAAAAGAACATATGGGACTAATTGAAATAGAGACTGGGCCGACCCCCAAACTACACTTTTTCCAACACAATACGTATGTTGTAGTAAAAATAACATCTTAATTTTATGATGGTATGCACACACAATTAATATTTAAGAGAAATATCAATAATATTAGGTTTTTTAACACTTACGTTAGTAGAAAAGATGGCTGGGCACACGGGGATGGAGGGTTGGTTCCGAGGCAGAGGGCAGATTATTGGCCCTCACCTGTATCACTTGTATCAATTGTATCACTATCCACCACAGAGGCTTGCAGGGCCTCTTTGTCAAACCCCTCAAACTCCATATCCTCACTATCACTGACTTGGGCTAGCTGTGGTGGGTGGCGGGTGAAGAACTCGGTAATGTTTTGTTGACTGGGCGACCTTGTGCGTACCCTGCCCGCGCCGCTTCCCGCGTAAACGATGGAATGAACCATGTAAATAAAAATGTCGGTCTGGCAAGGTGCCGCGTAAATGACCAAACGCGTAAACCAAAGCCACGTAAATCAAGACTATACTGTACAGTATAGTGGACAAGTGGAACAAGTTACCAAATATCATCATTAACTCGAATATGCTGGATAGCTTCAAACATAGGTTGGATGGGTATGAGCAATAGGGGTTGGGTTTAAATGGGACAGCCCAGTATAGGCCAATAGGCCCGCTACAGTTTCCTCCATTCTTATGTTCTTATGATGCATCTCGTAGATGACCCCCCACCCCAGGCTAGCATCAGGTTACACTTAGTTCATTACTCTTTGTCACCAGCCACTCTACAAGGCTCATCTGTTGCTCGCTACTCTTTTTGTGTACAGTTTGTTGTGCAGTACAGTGGTCCCTCGGTTAACGAGCACAATTCGTTCCAGAAGGTTGCTTGTTAATTGAAAATTCGTCAACCGAAACCATTGTTTCAATGGGTTTTTGGGTAATTGGTTCCAGCTCACCGAAAATTACATACAAACGAAAAATAAATGCAGTAAAGTACACTTACTCTGAGGTGTGCATGTAGAAGGCTCCTGGTTGATGGTGATGATGGGAATTAGAATGTGGGTGGAGAAGGGAGAAGAGAAGGCATAGGGGTGGAAGAGAAGTCACCCCATGCCGCCATTTCACCCATAAAATTTCACTTGGTGTAATTCAAGATTATTTTCTTTAAATCAACACTGCACTGCGCTATATCTTATCAATATGTAAAATATAATTCAAAATGGCCAATAATTTGACTGGAAACACGGAAAAAAAGCATTTATGTTGAAGAGTCTCAAACAAGATGTTCCTTCCTCTGAACCTGTAAACAAACTGACGCCAAGCTTGGTGTGTTGAGTGGCTGTTTGGCGCGCATAAAACTAGTTTCCTGTACCTCAATTATGTTCAATAATTGTTAAAATGACTAAAAAATTTAATATAAAACTTTTAAAATGATTGAATAGTACAACCGTCTTGATAGTTACTAAAATGGTAAGGAATTTAAGCCCTAGAACCGATTACTGTATTGGCGGACTAATACGACAGCTAGTGAGCAAGTGAAAACATGTTGAGGGGCGCTCGTAAGGAATTCGTTAATCGAGGGATTGCTCGTTAACCGAAATGAAGAATCTTATGGAAGGTAATTCGTTAACCGAAATTTTGTTAACCGAGGCTGTGGTTAACCGAGGGATCACTGTACTGTACAATTGCTGTACATAGGACAAAATCAACCTACAACACAGTGTTTAAGCAGTGATAAGACATCAACAGTGTAATTTTACTATAAATTAACATTGTGTGAACACAGCACATATGCTACCTCACATAGCAGTGGCCATTGTGTGTGTACCGCTCATTACTGTACCAGGACACACTCAAGTAAGTACTGTACTGTACAGAGTTAAGATGTGAAAAGTGATTACGCTAGTTGATGGGTTGTAGCAGAGGTTTTCTTAGGGTCAACTGAAATTAGCCCCTTACAAAGATTGTTACCTCATTACTTAGCAATTACAAGTATTCTCTATACAGGTAGTTCTCCTATAACGCGATAATTGTGTTCATGTAAAATATCGTGTTATAGAAAATCGCGTAATAGAAATAACAGGGCTTATGGAGAAAATAGGGTTAGGTGCAGATTACTCGAAATCGAAAAAATTTAGTAGTTAGCCTAATACAAAGGATAGCACAGTCTAAATAAATGTTACATTCATATCTAATAATGAAATCATACAGTAAATGTAACACTTTAGTTGATGGGGGAGAAGGGTGATTTTGAGGTTGATAAAATCGAGCTTCTCTTCAAGTGTTATATCCTTTCTTTTACGATCATCACCGGGAATTCTATCACCAGAACGCTTCTCGTTGATATTCTTTACTATATTCACAGTTAATACAGTGGGGTATGCTATAACGAACGAAACTCCTACAACGAACATTATTTAATTTTTTTTTTGTTTTTTTCTAATTTATTGTTTTTTTATTACAAATATTAATGATATTCTTTATTTCAGGGGTTTAGATGCATATTTATGCACTTTTTTACAATTTTTACAATTTTATATTATATTTTTCAGTGTTAAGTGGTTGTATTTGGGGGCCTGGAACGGATTAATCCTATAACGAACGAATGCTATAACGAACAAGGTTCTAGAACCAATTAGATTCGTTATAGCATACCCCACTGTACCACAAAATTGGAGAAATAGTAAGCAAAAATCGCGTTATAGCAAACAAGCGTTCGCGTTATACAAATATCGTTCCTAATTCATAAATCGCGTTAGAGCAAATTCGCGTTATCAAAACACGCGTTATAGCAGAACTCACTGTACTATAAAACAATTGATTAAACTAATATTGTTGATATACTGTACTGCGAAAAATACGATTATTTACTAACTCAGTAGGCAATATATAAAAAATAAACGGCTGCAGCTACACAACCCTTGCTGCTGTGCGGTTTGTTTGCTAATGGCAGTGGTGCGGCAGCGCCATCTATTGAGGAATTGCGAAAGGTTGTCTGCTGGTCTCAAAGCACAGGAATTTTTGTTTCTTCACACTTGAGTGTCTAGAACTTTATTCATTCACTACCAGGCCTTCACTGGTGTCACAAGCCATTTTCATTCCTGCAATTTATCTCCCTCATGTATGGCAGGTGTATCA